ATGTATTTTTCTCACTGGACGTGACCAGGACAAAGAGACACTCACTGCTGCTGACACTATTTGGGCAGAAATCCCTTTCAGAAGCGAGAGCCGTATCACCGATCCGTGGAGCGAGAGAGAATCTGGGAGTTTTTTCTTCCTGAGGAAACAGGAAATAAATCAAACGCATTAGAGCAGAATAAAAGTTTGGAACTTTGCCTAACTCACAGCTAAACCAGCAGGTAAATTCTGGGAGCATCCCTAACTCTTCCATTCTTATTCTTGGAGCCTACATGCAAGAAATGAAAGGAACATGAGATTATTAGCACGGCGCTACGCACCGCTGTGCCTCCATGAAGTTTGGTTTTAACTCATCCTCCAGGGGAAAAAATAAAAAAATAAATAAATAAGTGCATCAAACAAATTGTCAGTTTCAAGCAGAAATCTGCAAACCACAGAATTTATTAATAAAGCCTGACAGCAACACTTCTGCTCTTTAATTAATCTTCCACCAAGTCGGGAAGTTTCAGCCTTTACAGGCAAATGTCTAATGAAAATACACAATTGAAAAAGGCTCATTAGCAGAATACAGACCCCTAGGAAAACTGGATGCATGCTTAAAGAATACTGTTCAATTAAAACATAGCTGATCTGATACTAAAGGTAAGTGCTTCTGTTTAGGGAGAAAATGTCTCTAAATGTAACTGGTGTACAGGGGACAGTTATTTTTAAACAATACTGGTATACTGTAGCAAAAAAAAGCAGAGGAAAGATCCCCAGGGAAGTTGCAATTTCTTGTCCCTCCAGGGGCACACAAGTAGATATCTCACACCTGGCTGAAGAAAGGTGTTGTTAATAGCTTATATTATGGCTAAGGACCCATAGACACAACAGCTACCTTCACCCAGAGATGACACTAACACCTCCAAATTTTTCTGCCCATTCTGTATTGACAATCATTTAAGCCACTCCAGGTAACCTTTCATTCGATACAAACCATCTTATTTGAAAAAGAAGGGACAGTTAGTCAGCACACCACCATATACCACCATAAACCATCACACTCAGTCTTTATACCCTGTGCAATCGCTCAGGCAACAATCACAACTTCTTATGGCATGTAAGAAGGCCTTGGGAGTGGCTCAGGATGTAGGATCATGTCATCATTTGAGTAATTAACAAGATAAATCAGCAGCATTCCAGGTAATTATCACATTCCAGGCTGCTTTTAGCTGTCAAAATTAGTATTCCATTTACAGGAGCGACAGCAGTTCACTTGCCTTTTACAAATAACCACCGTCTGCTTGGAGACTCTGGAAGTCAGACACACTTTTGAAAGATTTTCTTTAAAGCCATCATGATTTGGTGTTTTAAAGATTCCATTAAAATTCAGAGAAATTTAAACACTTAAACACAGTCCTGCAGTACCTTTTCAGGTGTGTCCGGTCCCCGCTGTCAGAGCTTGCTACAGAAGACGTGTCGTAGGAGTGTGTGTCCGTGTTATCAATGTTCAAGAGAAAGGGATCCTCCAAAATGAAAGACTCTTCCTCATCATCAGTCTGAAGGAAAAGAATCACCAGAGCTTACTAAACACTCAGAACGCACACCACTAACTGAAACACGAGCAAAACAGCATCAGGAAAAAAATCGAGAAAAATCACAAGCAGCAAAATGAAAAAGGAGAGGACAAGATAAGTAAAAAACAGAATTATGTATTATTTTATCAGACTGATTCTGTGGAAGAACCGGTCTCCAGAATTCACAATAGTCACAGAAGTGGGCTGGAGAGAAAGTTATTCAGCTAATCTTGCTTCCCCAGGTATTATCTACTCCAGCAAAACTTTTAACAGACCTTTAACTAAGCTGTTCTCAAAAGTCTCTAATTGCAGGGAGAAGGCATAGAAGAACCATCATCTACTCTAGCACTTCACCAAGTGGTGGCTACAAGTCTAGCAGTCTAGCAGTCCCTCCAGCTGCTCCAAGGGCTGGTTTTGCTCTTCTCTGTCCTCTTCTGCTGGTGATCTCTTCTCTCTCTCTCCTCTCAGGCTTAGCCTGGATTAGTTTTTTTAAACAGTATTTTTTAAACAGCCATTCTCCCTGATGTCTTCTAAATTCAGTACAGTCTGTGTCGTTCTTGAGGGACAGAGCCAGAGGGAGCAAACACAACACCCCCACCTAATGCCCAACATGCAGAGAGTAAAGCAGGTGTTCCTCATTTGCCTTAAGAGCTGCCAGTCCTGTGCCCACTAAGTGTCTCCTTTTCCAGTACAGGTGTGTGACTTTTTGGCTCAGTCAGGTTGTTTTCCCCTAAAATCCTTGTCAGAAGGTGCTTTGCCAGTCTGTCCCACCCCGTATGTACTGAGATAAAGAGCATGGAGTAAGACTTTCTGTTTGTCTGCACTGGACTACGCTGTCTTCATGATTACCTCTCAAATTTAAGACCTGGATTCCACTCTGTCTCCTGACAGCTTGGTATCACCCAAATTTAGTAAGTTCCCTCTGCCCCTAGGCACCAGCAGGAATAAGACATGTTTCTAGACTGTATCCATTTGGAACACCTTATATTGGTATCTTTAATGCACCTTTTTAAATGAACTGCCACCTCTCCCAGGCTCCTTTTCCCTTTATACTGGATTCCTAGGAAGTCTAACCACCAATTTCCTCAGTTTGTTAAAAAGCTTGTTTTCTTGGAGTTTATCTTTACTTCCATGCCCTTTTCCTTTCTAAGAATCACGTGCTCCTGTGGCTACTGTAAAAAAATGCACTGAGTTGTATACGAGGGAGACAAAGTCAGTTTCTTCCCTGAAAGGTACTACAGGCGACATCAGGTGTTGAGACAGTTTGTTACTCTTGCCAGAGGAATATATACATGAAATATACAATATAAACAAAGTTGTGAAGAGTTTAGCTCTCATTTCCTCACACAACTTAAGAACTACCTAGAATTCCCCCTATGTATCTTTAGCTAAAAAAAAAAAAAAAAAAAAGTTCTTTGGTGACCCCAACCTATAATTGACTGTATAGTCTTCAGGTGACTGGTCAGATCCACAGGTGAACATGCTTAAATTAGATGGACACCTTTTATGTTTCAGCTGTGACTACTTTGACTGAAAAAAAAACCATATTACATACAGCAATTATTCCACTGAGCACGCGCTTTGTCAGCTATCAGTATCAGGAAATTATGAAATTATACTACTTTATTTCCCAGGAAAAACACGATATGAGAAGAGCCAAAGGAACATGAGCTGCCTCCTCCCTGCACCGGAGCTGACTGCACGCGCAATGGACCACTCACCTCATTTAAGATGCTCTCCAGGGTCGGAGGGGTATCAACTTGAGGAATGTCGAATTCTTTATCGTCTATCTGTACATCAGAAACCACAGACTGAGTTTAGGTTGCCTGCTCCACCTTCCAAATTTATTTTTTTTCCCCCTAACTAAGGAAAAAAACCCAAACCCAAGCAGCCAGGCATGCACTCCTTCCAGCCCAGAGAGGCACCATATATACTACAATTTCTCCTCTTCAAAACACATTTTCTGAAATTTGGCATTGGAAGGCAGAACAAGAGGTACTTAGTACCGAAAAAATAAAATAGTTCTCTGACCTGTGCCCAGACCTGAAATATTCAATACTTTTTTTTTTACTTCTAAAGATCACTGCTAATGCCACACTGCCTTTCCAATACAAATAAACACCGATATGCAAATTTTTTTTTCCCCTGACTGCTTACTAATGGGAAAAAACGCAGTTTTCTTAAAAACAAAGATACTTTTACCTCAGACTTGTGAGAACACCAAGCTTTGCTCTGGCAGTAAGGCTGCCGGCCTGTGCCCGGCTCACCCACCCGACAGTGACTCCTCTGTCCCTGCACCTCCTCCTGTCCCTTCCCGGGGACTTAAAACCGGCTGAATTCACCACGAAGGCCTGACACGGCCTCTTCCAGGAGGCAGGAATTATTTTAAACAACCGATGAACCGGCTCCTCCAGCAGCTGCCTTAGCCCCAGCCTGCCCCCCCCACCTGCCGGGACTCTGAGGGAAGGATCGAACAGGGCGGGAGCCACCCGCAGGACGGGACAGCGCGGGGACAAGCGCCTCAGACGGCCCTGACAGGACAGCGGTGGGGTCCCGGCACACCCACCCTCCCTCACGGCCTCCCGAGGGGCCCAGGGCGCTGAGGGGAGACGGGTGAGGGCCCATGGCCCGGCCGTGCCCGCCTCCCCTGAGGAAGGAAGGAAGGAGCGGGGCTCCCGGGCAGAGATTGGCGACGCACCAGCTCGCTGCGGGAGTCCAGCTCGCGGTCGAGCTCCGCCACGCTCAGCCGGTGAGCGGGCGGCTCCGGGAAGGGCTCGGCCTCCGCTGCCGCCGGACAGCCGCCCTGCTCCGGGGACGCCTCCATGGCGGAGCGCTGCAGGCCGGCACCGCCGGGACTCGAACCCGCGGCCTCCGACGGCCCGGCCCTTGCGCAGGCGCAGGCCGGCAGGGCCGCTCCCCCCCACCCCGGTCTTAAAGGGGCCGCGCCCACGCCGCACGGAATCCTTTAGGAACGGGGAATCCTGCGTCTTCCCCACGACAAGAGGTGGGAAAAGAGGTGTGTTAGCCTCCAAGGGGAGAAAAAAGGGGGAAAAATAGTAGTAGGTAAAGAAATGAGAGGCAGAGGTCTGGTTCCACCCATTCCAGACCTGCACCAGCCTGCAGCCGTGTCTCTGCAAAGCCAAGGAAAAGCGTCACTGTAGGTTGGAAACGGGGTGAGAGACAAAAACCTTTGGGTGCAGGTGGCTAATTTCAGACAAGGCAAGAGCTGGTGTAGCAAGATTTGGTTCTTCTGTTGGAAACCACCTGGAAAAGTGGAGCAGCAGCTCGGTGTTTCAGTTATTCAAGACAGAAGAAAGCCCTCTGTGATGTCCAAGCCGGGAGGCAAGTGTAAATGTCAAATAAACCACACCTTGGATGGAAAAAATCCTACAGTTTAATGATGTCAGACACCCAAGGTGGCCCGGTCTCTTATTTGTGCTTATCTACACTGTTTCAAGGTGACACCATCCTGCGTAAGAGCCCACGTTGTGGCCATTTGGAGGAAGGGCCCCTCTAGTGTCCCAGCTGAAGTGTCGTTCAGGGTTCCATCTTCAGCAAAGGCACAAAGAGCACCCTACAGCTGGCCTGCCTTAACAATTTGGCCTTCCTGTTGTCCTTCCTGAAGAGCAGCCATGTTTCCCTCCTCTCTGGAGAAGGCTCGGTCTTGTACCTAGCAGCAAGAGCACAGGGATGAGCAGGGAACATCCAGAGTGTCCTCTTACCCTCCAGGTGAGCATCTGCCGGGCAGGTCCCCCCACTTTCCTCCTCCACCTGAGCAGGAACCAGTCCTCCTGCTGCCCCCAGGGCCAGGATCAGCTCAGCAGAGAGAGCAGAGGACCACCTCCAGGTGCAGGGTCACCACCTGAGCTCTGGATCGGAAAAAGCATTTAGAACCAGCAGAGAGAGCTGCTCCGTGGAGGGAGCTGGCAGTTACCAGCACACCATCATCTGTGCTTTGAAGATACCTTAAAACTAGCTGATTCCAGGCAAGAAAAGTCATTTTTGTTCCTTAGAAATGCTGTTAGATCAGGAGTCCCGTTCAGGAAACTGTACCCAAAGAGATGGTGCAGAGCAGCCGGGCTGGGGGGGGGACAACCCTGGTGCTGTCACTGCCTTCAGCTCCAGGGACAGCCCAACTGCTCCAAGACAGACCCTGTGCCAGCAGAGCCCGGGCCAGGAACTAGAACCCAACCAGGGTGGTGACACTTCTGAAGACACAGGCGTCCAGGCTGAAGAAAAGGTTTTATAGCTGTCTAAAGAAGTCACCGGTGGCACGGAGAAGGTGACTATGGAGGAAGGGTCACTTTGGTATGTGAGAACTAGGGAGGAATTAATGAATTGATCACACAGTGATGTCCAGAGTACAGGCAGCAGGTCCCTGGAGCTGGAGATTGGTGAGAAAGCTGAGCAGAGCTCCACAAGAGGCTCCAGGCAGAAACCACAGAACCAGGCACACCAAGAAACAAAAATGACTAAGGTTGCAATGAACTGTCCCCCACCACACCCTGAGAAATGCCACCACAGAGACCTGCTAGAGATCCTGGAATTAGAAGCTGATTAGGAAGGTAGCTTTAAGGAATAAAATCATAGAATGGCCAGAGTTGGAAGGGACCTTAAAGATCACCCGGTTCCACCACCCCCTGCCATGGGCAGGGATGCCTCCCACTCACCCCCCTGCGCTGGGCAGGGATGCGTCCCACTAGACCAGGTTGCTCAAAGCCCCATCCAACCTGGTCTTGAACACCTCCAGGGATGTTTAGGGTAGGGGAACAGGTCAGGAGAAGTCACAGTGGAGTTTCTCTTCCATCCTGCAGAGCTGGATGATATACGTATCATCATATCATACACATGTACCACTTCTCCTCTTCGCAGAGCTGGATGATATCCATATCATACACATGTACCACTTCTCCTCTTGTCAAGTGGACAGAGGTTTTGAAAAACACAATCACCCTTTCTAGCTTCCTTCATCTTAGGTTGGCTCCACAGGCTTGTGGACACCCAAACAGCACGTTAACCAGATTTCACAGCCAGTCCAGACAAAAAGAAAGGATTTTTGCAAGGAAGTAACTCTGCTTTAGGGCGATGCTGGCACTGGGGAGCTGAACCTTTTCCTCTGGCACACACATCTACAGGTAGTTAAGGATTTAGTGAGTGATTACCACCACACGCTCTCCTCCGTGTTCTAAAACCTTCTTTTCCACTGCCAGCTGTTCCAGGATGGTCTTCTGCAGCAACGGTGCATTCACTCCTCTTACAACAGCTACCAATTCTCCTCCCTGAAGAGTGTGAAAAGCCAACCAGAGAGTAAGTGCCCAAGTGTTGCCCTCTGGGCTCTGGAAATCACCACAGCAGCACATCACCTACAATATTATGTTCCAGGCCCTCCTCCTTGACAGAGCTTCTGGGCTCCAGAACAAGAGGGAAACTTTGGAACAACCTTCTTTTTGTTCCTGATCAGCCACAGGATGAAGCCAAGCAGCTGGTGGGAGGGATGAGCTCCTGCAGCATCAGGAGGCTGGATCTCAAGAGCCCATGGGGCGACACACGTGTTCACATGGTGACATGGTGTGAACACTGCTCGCGTGGACTCTGACATGACACATACGTGTTGCAGTGTGTCGCAACGTGAGTCATGGGGATTTTCAGGACTAAGCTCAGGGCAAAGGCTGTGAAACACAGCCAGCCATCAGAGGCTACATGGGCCTCCCCACAGGCTGTCTCTTGCTGGTAAAGCAGAAGGTGTACTTCTATATGTAAATATAAATATATAAATAAATATAAACTCTGGCTTTATATTCTTATCCAGGCAGCACTTGGTCACCAGTAGACACTGGCAGATACAGAGCAAACAAAATCGCCCTGTCGCACACGGAAAAAAGAGAGTATCCCTCAAAAAAGGACAGTTATTCCCACCAGCAAGTCGTGGTTATTGCTATACAACTACTGTAAAAATATTGTTCACTCACTGCATAAAACAGAAAGACCGGCTCGCATTTCCCTCGGTAATTTTCCAGAGCATCAATGGAATCAACTTCAGCCTGAAAAGGACGTAAAATAAAACAGGTGTTTCTAGAAAAGCATTTCTGCTTCAGAGGAACACACAGGCAGCTGCCTGCACTCGGACACCCTCAGCTGGGGGGCACTCGTCCCCCAGGTACAGCAAAACACCTCCGGGTCCCAGTCTTTGGGGACAAAATGACACTGGTCAGAGCCAGGGACACAACCAACTCGCAGCTCGGTACCGGCCACCTGAGAAGCAAGGAGATCCCAGCCACAGGAGGTGGAACAGCAGCACCCGTGGGGCAGGGATATCTGCCTGGCAGCAGCCTGCCTGAGCAGATCCCAGAGGAAAAGCCTGAAAACATGAAATGAGGGCCTCTTGTCTATAAAGAGTGAGAGAAGTGACGGGAGGAGCTGTGGTGGCAGCAGCAGCAGAGGCAGCAGGAGGCTACAAGGAGTGCTGGGCAGGGGTCTCCACGAGAAACCTCACTGCCCATGGCTCTCCAGCAATCCAGAGCTGGCCTTCAGCAGGAAAGGCATTTAAGCACAGAATCACAGCGTGACTGAGGTAGGGAGGGACTTCTGAAGGGCTCCAGTCCAAGACCCTTCCCTCAGCAGGGCTGGTCTCAATGGTACAGGAGGTTGGCTCAAGGCTGTGGTCAAGAATGACTGCTCTGCAGCCTCTCTGGGAATTTGCCCCAGTGTCCAACCACTCCTACACTGAATACTTTTTCCTTCTATCTGCTTGGATTATTCCCTGCTGCAACTTGATCCCATCGCCTGTTGTTCTTTTGCTTCTTACCACTAAAAAACATCTGCCTCTGCCTTCTCCATTAATGCCCCACCAGGGATCTGTCCCTTGGTCTTCTCCAGCGTGAACAAACCCAGTTCCTCCAGACTCTCTCTGTGCATCAGAGGGACACGTATGTTCATGATTCTGTCCAGCCCTACTTGCTTAAGCAGAAATCTGAATAGTTGAAGCCTGAAAACTCTTAATAATGTGATTTCTTATTGATGTGACCAAGTGTCTGCATTTGGCAGGCTGGAACTCCTGGACTGTTATCACTTTGGCTGAATATTGGAAAGGTAAACGACCTGCTAATTTCAGGGGACCGGATATTTTAAGCAGTGCCCAAATTAGGTCTTACCACAGCAAAATGCAGGAGATCACTGCCAACTTCATTCCTTATTTTTCGGAAGAGATCCACCACCGTTTTGCATGGACCGCACCAGGCTTGAAACGCATCAACAACTGCAAGCAGGAAAATTAGTAAGGATGAGGACAAAATGGGTCAGTTGAGGTTGTTCTTTTCCACTTTGCAGCATAATCACTTGGAAGGGGACTGCAAAAGGGTGCTACTGCAATGCAAAAAATCTTGAAAACCTCTGAGGATTGAGGTGTCCTCCTCTGGTGACCTCTGCAGCACCACCCTGGGGAAGGAGATTTGCTTTATGGCCAACCAGAACTTCCCAGGTTGCAAGTTGTGGCTGTTGCTCCCATAGTTCTGTCTGGTTCGGTTCTGAAGTAGAAACTATCATACTCTTTCAAGTGTTTAAACACTGGATCAGAGGCTGAGATCACATTATGAAATGACAAGCTCATAACTGTAACAGAGGAGTCTTTAGAAGAAACATTGACATGGCTGTGACCTTGGAGGTTCCAGATTTTCTAGGGAAAACTGCTGCGCAGAGGTAGATCACATGAGGCTGACCTAACCACCCTCTAACCTCCAGCTGTGGGAACCAGGGCTATTCCGTGCACCGGGGACAGTCCTGCTCCAGGCAGGTAGGGCTGGACTGGAGACTCCAGAAGCTGCTGCACCAGCACTGCTTTGATTGAATGGTAATTCATCATAAAATTGTAGAATTTTGAAGCCTGAAAACTCTTAATAATGTGATTTCTTATTGATGTGACCAAGTGTCTGCATTTGGCAGGCTGGAACTCCTGGACTGTTATCACTTTGGCTGAATATTGGAAAGGTAAACGACCTGCTAATTTCAGGGGACCGGATATTTTAAGCAGTGCCCAAATTAGGTCTTACCACAGCAAAATGCAGGAGATCACTGCCAACTTCATTCCTTATTTTTCGGAAGAGATCCACCACCGTTTTGCATGGACCGCACCAGGCTTGAAACGCATCAACAACTGCAAGCAGGAAAATTAGTAAGGATGAGGACAAAATGGGTCAGTTGAGGTTGTTCTTTTCCACTTTGCAGCATAATCACTTGGAAGGGGACTGCAAAAGGGTGCTACTGCAATGCAAAAAATCTTGAAAACCTCTGAGGATTGAGGTGTCCTCCTCTGGTGACCTCTGCAGCACCACCCTGGGGAAGGAGATTTGCTTTATGGCCAACCAGAACTTCCCAGGTTGCAAGTTGTGGCTGTTGCTCCCATAGTTCTGTCTGGTTCGGTTCTGAAGTAGAAACTATCATACTCTTTCAAGTGTTTAAACACTGGATCAGAGGCTGAGATCACATTATGAAATGACAAGCTCATAACTGTAACAGAGGAGTCTTTAGAAGAAACATTGACATGGCTGTGACCTTGGAGGTTCCAGATTTTCTAGGGAAAACTGCTGCGCAGAGGTAGATCACATGAGGCTGACCTAACCACCCTCTAACCTCCAGCTGTGGGAACCAGGGCTATTCCGTGCACCGGGGACAGTCCTGCTCCAGGCAGGTAGGGCTGGACTGGAGACTCC